CAAAAAGCCAGCGAGCCCGTTTTTTTTTTTTTTTTTTTTTTTTTTTTGGTCTGCTATGTTGCGGTGTAAGAGAGGCAAAGCCCGGTCAAGGTAGCTTCTGAGCCCTTCCGCGTTGTCGCCTCCACATTGGAGACATTTCTGTCCCAAAGGCCAACACTGGAGCCCAAAGATTCTCCTTGGCTTTTGAGCGGTTTCTGGATGCAGGAACAGAGAGAGATTTTGTTTTGGGCCGCTCCCCTTTTGTTTTCGGGCTCTTTTGTGAGGCCTTCACGTGCTCGTCCAGTGCTGTGTGGAACAGTTGGTTTGAGTAAATAAAGCGCACGGCCGAGGCCGGAGCGGATCAGGCGTCGGTGTGGGTTCAGGGCAAAGATGGACACTCGACAGCCCGAAGTCACTTGTGTAAGTTTTTCCATGAGCTGCCGTGTTCGTGAGCCGGGCTTGCCCCCCACCCTATTGTCACGGTGACGTTTGTGCGTTGATGCCCACCCGCCTGCCGGGTATCGCTCCAGTACGCGCCGGGAGCACGCAGGCGGCAACGTGAAGGTGAAGCGAGCCTTTCTGGCAGCCGTGTTATTTTGCCGCAACTTCATCTCCAAACTGCGGCAGATCGGGTCGCTTTGTGTTGGCACGCTTCCTGATTGCTGGCTGGGCGACGAGGGGTGTGCTCGCTTTTGTTGCTTTCCCTTTAGGCACGAGCGCCTGAGTGTCGAATCGGAAGCGAAAAGTAAATGTTTGCCGTTGCAAGCCGCACGTTGATGAAATGACATCGCAGCAAAGAATTATTTATTGAGTGTTGTGCCCATGAAAAATAGTTTTGACATTGAAATTTGACTGACTTGATTAAACATTTTTTTTCCCATTCCCTGCAGCAAGAGGTGGAGAACTTCAAGAAGGTTCACCTGATCAGCCGCGAACAATTTGACTGCCTGACCCCCGAACCCCCCGTCGACCCCAACCAGGAAGTTCCCCCGGGCCCCCCGCAACCCCATCAGAGTAAGGGCTCATTTCACTCTGTTGTAAAGCCATTTGTTCCAAGTACAGTCGAAGATGGCATCATCACACATTGATCGAGATAAAGCGGCTCGACGCGTGCCAATTTGACCAAAATTCATATCAATCGGTCAGCACACACCTTGTGATCATCTTTTTGAGAAAAATCACGGCATTGGGAAAGCAAACTGCTTTAACACGGCCCGACACATGCGCGTGACCCCCCCCGCTTCAGTCGACTTTTTATCCTCAGTCCCGACAGACGCCTTGGCGAACAAACTCTTCGGCGCCCCCGAACCCTCGTCGATAGCGCGGTCGCTCCCGACGACCGTGCCCGAGTCGCCCAACTACCGCAGCGCCCGCACGCCGCGCACACCGCGCACGCCTCACCGGAAAGACGCCACCATGACGCCGCGCTTCTACCCCGTGGTCAAGGAAAGTCGGCCTGTTGACGCCAAGGTGAGGTGGGGGGGCAGGGGGTGGGGGTGACCAGCTGCTAAAATGGCAGCTCCCCCCTATTTATTTATTTATTAAAAATCTATTTCCTCGATTGCGTTGCCTCTAGACCCCGAGGAAGCGCAAGACCCGGCACAGCTCCAACCCGCCCATGGAGTGCCACGTGGGCTGGGTGATGGATTCCAGAGAACACCGCTCCCGAACCGCCTCCGTCAGGTGAACACCCGCAGTTCCGCCGCCGCGTTGAGCCGCGTCCCGGTTCACCGCCGCTAACTCTGGCCACCGGCACCTCCCTCAGCTCCAACGCCAGCCCCTCCGAGGGCACCCCCGCCCTGGGCAACGTGGGCTGCACGCCGCAGTCCCTGCCCAAGTTCCAGCACCCATCCCACGAGCTGCTCAAGGAGAACGGCTTCACGCAGCACGTCTACCACAAGTACCGCCGGCGCTGCCTAAACGGTAAACGGCGACTCGACACGCGGTGGCCTCGCGGTGTCATCGGCGTGCGAAACTAACCGCCACTGAATCGCAGAGCGCAAGCGGTTGGGAATCGGCCAGTCGCAGGAGATGAACACGCTCTTCCGCTTCTGGTCCTTTTTCTTGCGGGATCACTTCAACAGGAAGATGTACGAGGAGTTCCGCCAGCTGGTGCTGGAAGACGGCAAAGAAGGATACAGGTGAGAGGGGGGGACTGAGGAATGCCAGCCGGGATGACTCGCTCGGGTGCGGAATAACGCCCCCCCCCCCCATTGGCTCTTGCAGGTACGGTTTGGAGTGCCTGTTCAGGTACTACAGCTACGGTTTGGAGAAGAAGTTCCGGCCGGACATCTTCAAGGACTTCCAGGAAGAGACCATGAAAGACTACGAAGCCGGTGAGACGACAAGCTGACAAAAACGCACGCCTACTTCTTGGTTACTGATTCATGTGAACGGCTTTCGTAATAGTGCCACTAAACTGTCTTGTGAGCGATTTCACGATTCCTCGCAATCGTTCGAAAACAACCTTAAATCGCTCTCGGCTTTTATACTCTCACTTCAATTTCTGGGAATTCACAATGTCTCGTCACCGGTGAGCTGTGGCTGCCGTGCCCGAAGGAAGGAGAGGGAAGAAAAAATAACGTGGACTATAAAATGATTATTCGTTAAATAACTGAGTGGCACTTCATTTTTTTGAATCGAGGTAGCCGCTTTTTTTTTTTTTTTTTTTTTTTTTTTATGACATTATGACCGATCACCAAATGAGCAAAAGATGGTAACTGGCGCCGCATCCGATATCGCCGATGGGTGGAAAGTCTCATTGAATTGTGTGGTGAAATGTTTGCGCCTCTGCAGGTCAGCTGTACGGCCTGGAGAAATTTTGGGCCTTCCTCAAGTATTCCAAAGCCAAGGCCTTGGACATCGACCCCAAGCTGCAGGAGTGTCTCGGCAAGTTCAAGCGACTGGAGGACTTTAGAATCGATGTGAGTCAAATATTCCACCTCGGCCCGATTTGACTTTGTGTTTGTACTGTGCCAGCCTCTTTTTCCGACCAATGCAACTACGGTTTAAAAAAAAAAAAAAAAATTAAAAATCCCTGCAAAGCTCAAGGCGGCTTTTTTCCCCCCCCAGCCTTTGTTTTGATTCGTCGTTTCAGCCCGAAACGTCGGGTCTTTGTAAACCGTCGGTCCTGTTTGTCGGTCCCCACAGCCGCCGATGGAGGAGGGAGGCCGACGGAGGCACTCGTCCAGCGGGGACGGCCGCCGCCGCCACCCCTCGCATCCCTCCAGTCGCCCCCACAGCCAGAACAGCAGCGGCTCCAGCCCCGTTGCCGCCGCCGCCGCCAAGGACGACACCAAACTTGACACCAAGACGCTCAAGTAAAAACGCGACAGGGGGCCTCGCACATAAATATCAAGTCACATGCCGCCGGTTCTTCGGAGACGCATCACTATTATTATTTTTTCCCTTTTAGGCTTAAGGAATGAGGGCGAAATATATCATGATGTGCTTGAAGGATGAGTTAAATTTGGGAGATTTTTTTTTTTTCTGAACAAGGCAAGCAAGCAATGAGGTGTCAAACACGCATTTTTCTTTGCACATCGTTGCCAGTCCACCAGGTGGATGTTTTTTTTTTTTTTTAATGGTTATCTAACCACAATTTTTGTTTCCTTCCCTTTCGAAGAATGAATTACATATTTTTTTTTTTTTTTTTTTTTTACGGGTGGGGGGAGTGCGGCATCCAGAGACAATTTTCCGAAGCGCACGTACGATGTCGACGCCTCTGCTGACATCCAAGCGGACCAAAGCGCCTTCAAAAAAAGATTTGATTTGCTGGAATTTTTTTTTTTTTTTTTTTTTTTTTTGATGAAGAGGAGGAAAATAACCAAATGCTTCAAAACGGATAGAAGACGTGGAGGAAGAGACTTGGTTTGAGAGTTGCCTTATCTTTAATGGTTTTGAAGTTGTTTTTTTTTTCCCCCTTCTGAGCACGTCTTGCCAAACTGCTTGAATTGTCTTCCCAGTGTCATTTGGGTCCTGTTACGAGTGCTGTGAGTCCCACCTTGGCTTTTGTCGCGTGGCTTTGTTCGTGCTTAAGCGCATCCGCGCTCCATTGGAGGAGAGTCCCGGACCTTTTGAGGGGGGCAGGCGGGGAGGGGCGACGTTTCCTGATATTGTTTTCGTACATCCCATCCATGAGCTTCATCCATCCATCCGTCAAGGACTGGAAGAATCAATAAATCCGGATTACTTGAAGAAGCAGGAAGTGACACAGGTGCTCTGGGCGGATATTTTGGCGGAAGGGGAGGGGGTCATCCTCTTCCTGTTTGACTGACACCCCCCCGCGCTCTCCTCCACATACACACGGCTCCATATCTGCGGCCAAGTCGGCTCCTCGTGGACGTCCTCCCATCGAAATGTAAATGTGAACTTGATTGATGAAGAAGAGAACTTTTCGCCGGATGTATTTTTGCCTTACACGTGTACGTACTCCTTAACATGCTAATGCTTCTGGATTCTTGGGGGTGGGGGGCCAAGGAGGTATCATATGTTTGTGTGACATGGGCAGGATTCTTCGGGGGGCGGGGGGTTCCTTTTGACATCTGGAACATTGAATGTGTATTTAAATCGACTAAAGGGAACGGAAAAAAAAAAGCTCAAGCAAATCTTGTTTCATGTTGAAATCTCTTAAATTTCCCTGTTCCCTTTTTTTTTTTTTTAATTGATTGGCACCTCCACCACAATTGGATTCAATTTTCTGGGGGTTAACGTAGAGAGAGTCTTAAAACATTTGTCTGTGTGTTCCTGTCCCATGTCTAAAAAAAAACAATTATTTGCCTTGTTTGTGTCTTCTGATGTGGACATCGCCCTAATTTTATCTTCCAACGCAAGCAGAGCTGGACTTTTCCTTCCCTTTCTTCTTCAGGGAGACTCTCGATGTTTGCGTCAGTGCTTTGTGGCGCGACTTGACGACAAATGAGAGCCAGAGGAGTGAAAAACAAACAAACAGATACAAAGATGAAACTGCGGTTGGCTGCAATTGTGCTCACTGCTCCACCTCTCGGGACATTTGGAGGATTTCGAGGCCTTGTGGGAGTTGTCCACCCCCTCACAGAAACTCTAGGAGGTGCCACGCCCTCAACCTCAACACAAGCTGCCCGCAAAAAAAACGGTGGAAGGGTGGCAAAAATGCAAAAACAACAAAAAAAAAACAAGCGTGTGAGGAATATGGCTGTTTATGATGTCTGCAGACTGAAAAGTACAAAAATGTCATAAAGCCATATGAATATAAGAAAAAAAAACTGTATATGAAGCAATGAAATTGTTCACTGCATCACTGAAAAATATCTTTAGGCTTGTTATGAGAAAAAAAATGTGAAAATGCCCGGGAAAAAAAAGCAAGGAAAAAACACAACTAAAATGGAAAAAAAATGTAAACTACTTGAATGAAATTGTGTATTATAACATTTAATATTCGCTATCCGCTTTGTAGGCTGATGTGATTGGCTATTATTATTAGTGTTATTTGTAATTTGTAGTAATTATGCTTTTTTTCCTTTAATTAAAAAAAAAAAACGGACACAAAAAAAACCCGCCTCAAAAACCTTGGCTGCTGAGTCATCATTTCCTCACTCATATTGTCAAAATGATCATTTATTGACGGATTTGTCATCACAAACACAATAGGAGCAGCAAAAGTGGGCTTGTAATACGCAAATGGTTCATCGTTACAATTTCGACAGGTTTACATCACGTGTACAGCACACGAGTCTTTTTGCACCTCTTCCGATCAGCGTCCACAAAGTTGTGCTTATCGGATGTCTCGGAAATGTGGAGAGTGCTGCTTTTCTTCCGTGAACAATGTCAGCAAAGGCCTTGATTGTCTTTTGGGTTTCTGAGCGAGTATCCTCGGCTGTGGAGTATTTTGCCTGAGATGTGAGCTTCTTCCTCCTACGATGAGCTCAGAAAAGTTGCGCCCGACAATCATAAATGTGGAATGTTACGATAATAAATTAGCCTCCTTGCGATTATCGCAACGCTGAAAGATTTAGCGCTGGATTGTGTTGAGAAATGTTTTTATTTTCCCCTCCACAATCTGCCCTGAAAACTGTTGGAGCTGAGAATCGTCGAGGTTAAACTTATTCAATAGTTACACTCAGCTAAAACGGCCTCGCTTTTTCTCGCTCTTCTTCTTTGGATTTCCTGGATGCCCTGCGGCACCGTGTTGCCTCACAGTCGAGTCTTTGACACTTGAACAGACTTGTGGTTCGGAGGATAGACTTGCAATTGTGCTGTGCTCTGCACGCGATAAGCGCAAAAAACTTTTTTTTCCTCTCACAACTACTTTGTGGGCAGAATTCACACTTAAGTTCCCAGAACCAAACTGTGAATGGGCGTCAGTCAGTAAAAAAAAAAAAAAAAAACAATGATAGTGCAAAAGAATTAAACTTAAACAAAAACTGATCAACAGGTTTTAAAAGAAAAAAAACGTGTAAAAAGGAATCAAGATGGCGTGACGGCAGTCAGTGGGACTTAGTGGGCGTGTCGGGGATACTCTCGGTGAGCGGGGTGAGTCCCAAGAGCAAGGTGTGGCGTTCGTACTGCTTGGTCTGCCGGAACTTGATGTCGGTGCCGTGCAGGCGGTCCAGCACGCCGAAAACGCCGAAACACTGGTTGAACCTTGAATCAACGGGACAGGTTTAAAGTAAGGACATCACGACGAGCCGGAAAGTTCCACGGAAAACTCACCTGAGGTGGTGAAAGTCGTGGAACTCTGGCGAGGGCAGAAAGGGCAGGTGGTACCCGCAGTGGGAAATGGTGGTACTGACCAGCGCCAAGCAGTACCACATGCACGTGCTGGACACGTGCGAGCCCAGCAGCACCGGCCCGATCACCACTGGCAGCAGGTTGGAGAACTGATGGCGCAACAGAACATGATCCTCTGGCAAGGTGCACATTCCCACGGATGGCGGCTTAATGCCTTTTTGTGACTCCTCCAGTTTCTCTCTTTGACGCAACCTGCTGGTGATACAATAAGTCCCTGACATCGGGATTTATTTCCGCTTCCCTCCCCCACATCACACCAGCCTGAGCAGCAGGTTGAAACGGACGTTGGAAGAGCCCCTTGAGCAAAAGGGGGTCGGGAGGGGGGAAGCAGCGGCAAAACAGGCCAAAATCCAGATGGCAGTGACTTATGGTATCACCAGCGGGTTTGTGACATTTGCAGGGAGAACTGGAGGAGTCAGAGAAAGACGTAAAAGTGGACGTGAAGAAAGTGCACATTTACCAAATGTTCCAGCGGGTGAGCGTAGGTGGCGACCACGCCGATAGGGGCGGTCCACTCGTGGTGCTGCTTGTGGAAGCGCTTGTAGAGGGTGGGATGATGGAACAGTCTGACGGGAAGACACCCAAAGTAAGACCACTTCAAAGAGCAGATCGCCTTTCCATCTTCAACTTTCAAAAGCAAGGAGACTTTGTATCCCACAGCAGTGGATTTCAACATACAAGTTGGTCAACGGCGGTGACTTCAACCTTAAAAAAAATGCTTACCTTGACCAAGAATGAGTTACAAACAAAATGTAAAACAAATGCAGTCAGTGGGATACATTTACATTCAATTATTTTTGGGTAACTTTTTTTTGCTTATCAGATGTTTAAAAAAAAAAAACTACATTTTTGGCAGACTGAAAAATCAGTTGCTCTCAGAAGGCGGGTGGTCGGCATTTCCTACCTGTGCGAGTAGTAAAAGAGAACTTCCTCCAGGATGGAGAAGATAGTGAGCTCGGCGAGGGCCCAGTGGAGGGTGGGCAGCTGGGGTCCGCAGGGGTCTCCTCTCCAGCGGGTCAGGTGGTAGGCGGCCACCACGGTGGGTGCAGAAATGAACATCTGGTTGAACAGCACCGTCTTCAAAGCGTGGCGCAGCTTCTCAGGGTCCACCTGGGCACAGCCAATAGTCGGCGAATCACAACACCGTTTTTATTTTCCCCACACAATTTAATAAACCATTTATTTGACTCCATTTATTTTTTTTTCATCACCATGTAATTAAAAACAGACACTGTAAACACTGTAATACAAATACATGTATCATGTTAAACATGTTTTATCTTATCATTACAGGGAGTAGCTGATTGGACACAGTTTGCCTGCGGAAAGAAATGGATTGACTTGGCCTTCGACCTCCAACTCAAGACATCGAAGGACATCTCACAGTTGTATGTGAATTATTATCTAATTAACAATACATGTTTTCTAACCAGAAGGGTATTTATTAATCCTCTACGTGAAAAGTGATTTGAGATGGGACAAACTCAATGTGGCCAGAAAATAAATCGACTGATTTGTTTTTGCCTAGAAAGCAACTCCTAAACTAAGATCTATGTAAACAAGCTAGCGACGGACTTTCCTCCCGCGTCAAGACTGTACTCGAAAACACAGACTCATTGGCCCTTGTTTAATCTGAACTTGACAGCCAATTTGGTAATATTGCGGCTGAGTGTGTGTTGGGGGGTAGGGGGGCGTAACGTCGTAAATCGAACCGAAACGGGTGCGAGCGAGGCTCACGTTTCCGGGTTCGTTTTCCTCGCGGGGCCAACACGTCAGCCCCATAGTAGCACGTCGCCCCCTGTTGGATTGGTGTGTCACAAACCGGTACAGCACCAGCAAGATTGCTTGCCTTCTTTTTTTGACAACATCATGCGCTAAGTCCTGCTTCGTTTCGGGGAGAAAAATAAATCGGTTTAATTCGGTCAGTGAGGTCAAAATGCAAATGAGGAAATAAATAAAACTCAATCTATACTCTGATAAGATAACGCTTGGAGAGTAACCTCCGGCACGCGTTATCAGCCATCTATCGTGGAAGAGATAGAGGACTTTGAGCTTCCATGCACAGACGCATGCGCACAAACACAGACACACACCAGAGGAAAGCAACAAATGACAGTCATCGCAATATTTGTTTTTCAATTTGGTGTTACTAAAAAAAAAAAAAAAAACTTCTGTCTCAAAGTAGCCGTGCAGTACGTTGAATCACTTTCATGCTTCATTGATACCGACTAAAAATAAACCACCCATGCAACTTTCTAACCAGAGTGACTCAACCGTGACTGAGTGCACTTGCGTATCACGCTGTTGCATCACATTCACCGTACATAGCCTGAGAGGAGCGAACCAGCACCTACCGGGTCGTTCTTGTCGGCTTGGATGCGGTAGCGGGTGATGAAAGACGGCTTCCCCGTGGTGTCCGCCAGTAGCAGCAGAGCGTTGAATGCCCAGAACACCACCATGGGCACCAGCATCGTGCCTGTGGATGTCATGCTATTATGGTATTTTCTTTCTTTTCGTGAAATAAAATGACACAACAAGACATCACAATTAACTGACAGGAAATTCGATTGGTTGCTGTTGCTGCGTCTAGCTAGCGGGATGGTTGAGATTGGATTCCATGGAGGGGACGATTGAGATGCATTTTTCATATCCCATCAAACGGTCAGAGATGAGACTATTCATACTTGAGTAGACATGGTGTTTCATTCCCGAAAAAATCCAGTCCATCCTCCTTACCCATGTAGAATAACGCCTCGTTGTGGCCCTCAAACATCACGTAGAGTTTGGTCCACAAATTCTGCCAAAAGTTGCCCGAAGCTCCCCAAAACTTCTGAAGATGCCTGCAACAAACAATGCCCGCTGTACCTCGTCAGCCATCTTTCTGCAAGGTTTCTGCGTAACGGCAATATGATTTTTGTCCATGACGCTGGCACAAAAATAGTCGTATTTTCTCTCTCATAGGTCAAAACAAGACAGAGCGCTGTGCGGCGAAGTGAGGAAGTCGCACCATGTCAGCGAATTACCAAACGCCGCCAGGAACAGGATTCCGGATCCGATGACAATGACGGCTTTCTTCACGGAATCCCACAGTCCTCCCGAGGCCTCCTGAGGAGACCAAAAAAAAAACCAACTCACATTTGGTCACATATCATCAAGTACAAGCTACAAGTCCCCTAGCCAGCCTGATTCCTGTGGCATCTGGATTTTGGTCTGCTTTGGCGCTCATCTCTCGGCCGCTTCCCCGTTTTGGTGAATGGTGGCTTTGTGAAGTCCTTATGAGACTCCCGAGAAATCAACTTGACGTAACTTGATGTTGTTGCGCAACCGTGTCTATTCTTTAATCTAGCGGCGCGCCACCTTGCAGGAAGAGTCCAAGCGCAGGTTCGGGAAACGCACTTGGCGGAGCTATTGTGTCGAAAACAAAAAGAGGGTTTGCTGGGATGTTGTTCTACGAGAAGTGATTAACATGCTCATGCGCCAGTCACAAAAAAAGAAAAAAAAACGTGGGGGATTTTTGAGCTTTCCAAGGAATGTCAAAATCCCCTCCAGCGAATTGACCCATAAATATTTCATCATCCATTTCTCTGCCTCGATGTGACTCCGGACCCTTCACAAAAGTTCAGGACTTTGGTCTTTGAGGTGCGATTTCAGAAGGAAGCTCAAATGCACTCTGGCCAAAGACGGCCGCTTGTGGAGTCCGCATTCCAGTCGCCACGTCTGTTGCAACCTGCCGATGACAGTGGCCAATTCCCTTTGACAAACACCTGTCTCAAAACGTCTGGTTTGGGGCCTGTTTTACTGCCACTACTCATATTTCCCACCCTCCCCTCTCCTGTGCGGAATTTTATTCGAGTCTCTGTTGTAACCTGCCGATAACGCTCTAAACTCACTGGTCAATCCCCTGGCAAAGAGAGCTTTCTGACGACATCTGGATTTTGGCTGTTTTATTGCCGCTTCTCTTCTCTCATTGAAAAGCGATATACTAAAACACTAGGTTTTTTTTTTTATTTTTGTTTCACTTCAACAGAGAGAATAGAAAAACTGTGATGAAACCTAACAAACCTGACAGTCCAGACAATAAGCAGCATAATCATAATAACCCAGGTGTGTGTGTGTGTCAAGAAGCGCTTACCTGTCTGCTGCTCGCTTGTGCTCCCCTCATATCTAGAAACACCAACAAATAATTAGCAATGCTCTATTATGCTCTATTTTAGACATTCTCATATTAAAAAGAAAAGTACAAGGAATAGCTCCACTTGCTCGTTGCGCTTCAGTGATCCAAATATAACATTTTAAAATATGAAACGTTTGTATGAGTCTCCAGTCGCGGGACACTTCATTAGGTACACCTATCATCTCATGCAATTCTTTGTGCCGTTACAAAGATGTTCAGATAATGGACAGATGGATATGTAGTATGTAGCACAAATGCACTATACATAGACTCGATTTAGACCTCACATTAAAATGGATATCAAATTGCTTTCACAGAAAAACATTTTTTTTTTCATTTTTTTTAATGAAAATATTCAACCAACACAAACTTGTATAGTTACATGCGCGCACATTGGGGTATTCTACTTGTAGCTCTGCGACTATACGAATGATATTTAGGGCCTTAAAAAAACCGATAAAATAACGCCAAGGGGCCGATGTGGGCACGTTTTGGAGTCGCTCACCTGCGCGACGCCTTGCTCCACCGTAGTGTTGCTGCTGTTGTGTGTTGGGATTCCGAGTCCCGGCAGTCAGCTGGCTTTGACTGCGCTTTGTTGACAGACAGCCCAGCGACGCGCTGATTGGACCGCTGCGGGTCAGTTGACCGGCGCCGTACCCGGAAGTAAAGTCTGGCCCGCCTCTCTTGCAGCCTCGCTCGATGTTTGTTTTCCTTTCCTCGACGTCTTTTTTTTTTGTTGTTTTTTTTTTAACTTTTTAACCTGTACATTTCAGAAGCACCGGTAAGGTAAAAATTGAAATACTTTACAGGAGTAACTTACATCATGTGCTTACTCGTTAAACTCATAAATAATAAAGTCATGTTCAACGGGTGTCACCACACGCCCACCCGATTAGCGCCGAAGTTGAGATATTCCATGCGCAGACGCCCATTTAATTATCACTTTATCTCTATAAACACGTGTTGACAAAGTGCTTTGGCAGATAGAGGAGTGTACATAAAACACGATCGGATCTTAATCGTCAGCAACAAACCCCAAATCAACTGAAAAAGCCGGCTCTGTATTCGTTTTATTTGATTCTATTCTTTTATCTCATTAAATAATTGCTTTGTTGTTCATGATAAAGACAAAAAGAGTCAAATCAACCGTTGCATAATGCACATACAATACATTGCATGTTTTCTTCAACACTGGGTTCAATCATTATTTTTTAAATGAAACTGAAACGAGGAGTCATTCATTTTTGAAATGACGATAATAAATAATCCAACAAAAACAAAGGAGATATGTATGTATATCAATGCAATTTATTGATTTATCATTTCAAGATGACGGTTTCCGTGCACATTTACAATACAATATTTGAACTTCATCTACGAATGAGCAGAGCAGGTCCCTTTGATTAAATAATCTAATTTGGCCCTTGAGCGCAACGGTGCAGCCCTTAGCCCAGGATGATGTTTTTCCCATTTCGGTTTGTGACGATCAGCATGTTTGCACGCCCAAAACAAGTCTGCCTGCAAGGTCAATCTGCTGGCTGCACGCTGCATTCACTCACTCTTGTCACGCTGCTCAGGTCTGACCCGCAGTGGCCGTATGTTGCCACTGCAGCTGTGCCATGACTTCCAAAGTATAAAACAGAACGCATCTTTATTTATAGAACGCTTTCGCAACAGCTGGAGGTGTAACAAAGAACATTTAATAGAAAGTAGCAATAATTCACATTGACAGGAAACATGCTGCGATTGGTGTCCGAATAAAAGCTCTTTGACATGACAGTATTCCGTCAAAGCAATATGTCACTTGGCTTTCATTGCCATGGCAACCGGGGAGAGCGTTATGTCGTTATGAGTTTGATAAACAACGACTATTCAATACACTCACAAATTCACACTTCGGGACAATTTAAGAGTGTTCCCTTAACCAACTAGGCACCAGGGAGCCTCGATACGCCCCTGCCTATGTTGGTCACAGTCACTATGCATCCCAAATTTCGACTTCATTTGAAGGGGGAGAAAAAAAAACCCTTAACATCCCATGGAAAGTTACCAGAAACATTCTGGAAGCTGCAAAACGTTCCACTGGGCATCGTATTCTTTTTTTGCCATTCTGAGCCTTCCGTTGGAATTTACGTGTTTGTGCTCTGCATTGTTGTTGTTGTTGTTTTTTGGGGCGTTGGTTCAAGAAGTACAGTAAACGGAATCCACGGGTGCCATGGGGCAGGTTGAGCCGGCTGCTCCCCCGCTGAGTGGCGTCGTTGGGCGGCCGGCAGCTCTCGGCTCGTCTCGCTGTGGATTGTGGGAGGCGACGGAGCCAGCCAGAGCGAATCGCCGAGCCGAGCCTTCGCAGTCACCGGGAGACATTTTACGCCCTTGCACTCGGCTTTGGGTTTCACGTAAGTACGCCGCGGGCGCTACAAGTCGTCGCGGTCGTGTATTTTTGATGAAATATATTTTTTTATTTAACCGAGCGGAAGCCGAGCGAAGGCCGAAGTGGCGAGCTCTCGTACGGGGAAGCGGGGGGCGGCGAAACGCCGCCGCCGGCATAAGCACAACCGTCAGCGCCGCTTCCACTGACATGTTGCGGAAATGCTTGTGAATGTCAGAGCCCGGTTCGGACGCGAACGAGCCGCGCTTCCCATCAATGCGTTGGGCCTTGGGGACGAGGCCACCTCGCCTGCGCCTCCGTTTGCACCTCCGCCGTGAGGACGCGCGAGCGGGCGTCTTGCTAACCTCGGCGTTCGTTCCCTTTGCTTTCCCGCTCCAAAATGGAGCCGGCGTTGGCCTCCACACTTCACGCACATGACTGCATGTGCCATTAACACCGTGGGCACACAAAAACACGATAGCCGCTCTCGTGATGCCATATTGTCCCCATTGAAGAGTTTTAATTGCTATCAATGACGAAACTTGGGACTATGGTGACATTTAGGCTTCCTTTGAATATTGGTTCATTAGTGCGCCAACGCGCCTAATGAATATGAACGGTGGCGTATTACAAGTCCATTTTTACAGTAAAGCTGACAACCAGTGTGGCTATTTAAATGGGGGCTAATATAAAGGCACGTCAGCGCTATTAATGAACATGCTATTGAAAAGGTGCGACGACGCGCCGTGCACTACGGGACAAAAATGACAACAAATGTATCTAGTGAATGAGCCTCCACTTATTCGGCGGGCGTCACATTTGAGAATTTACCGATTGGCATTGTTTGGGGGGGTGGGGTGGTGCGGGGGGCACTTATTTGCTAAAAAGATCACCTATTTATTGTTTGTATTGAGAAATGGCGCCCTCTGGAGGCATCCTGGTGTCAAGGAAATGAGTGAAGGAGTTTCAATTAGCCACAAGTAGCGGCTGGCCACCCTTTTGTGGCATCCGGAAGCAATTAGGAACCTTTGACGGCGCTCACCTACTCACGGATTTTTGTGAATAACGATCGTTCACCATATCGACTGAAAACATGATAATAACGTCTCTCTTCGCGGAGTTATTTTGATTTTCACAAAGCTATTATTCTCTTGTTTGAATGGCAACGGGTGGAAACGGGTTAGTGGTACTTTCTGCCTGTCACACTACGTCGCTGGCACAAAGATACATTATTGCTTGTTAATAAAAAGTAGTTTATAGACCAATTGAGACAAATTTAGCAAAGCTAAGCTGATGATTTCTACCTGTCAAACACAAGAGTTGTAGAAAAAAAGAACTCTCGCTTCGTTGGGTCGGTTGGGTATATTAAAAACAGCTCTGCACCTGCAAAAATAAATGACAACTTTGATGTATATAAATGCCAACCTTCTGGGATACAACTGACAGAAACGTTGATGCGGTTGTTGTCTCGCGAGGGGCTGACCTGCACATTTTTTAAAATTTGGATTCCATTTCTAAAACTTACAAAGAAGTGCACTTGTTTGCCTTTCTGTGACTCTTCCCGTCTCTCGGTGTTTCACCTCACCCGCAGGAGGCCCCAGTCGCGTCGCGGTGAAAGCATGTCGAGTCGAGGAGGCAAGAAGAAGCTGACCAAGACGTCGCGCTCCACCAAGGCGGGCGTCATCTTCCCGGTGGGCCGCATGCTGCGCTACATCAAGCGCGGCTTGCCCAAGTACCGCATCGGGGTGGGCGCGCCCGTCTACCTGGCCGCCGTGCTGGAGTACCTGACCGGTGAGTCGGCACTCCGCCATTGCTGATTTATCGCACTGCAGAAGATGCAGTTTGTTCTGGCGCATTGATGACTTTGCATGATGATTAATAGTAGAATAAATATTGCTTGTCAGCTAATCGAAACGCTTCTTTCCCCGTGACCGCTGAGTGACATGACTCTCTTGGAAGTGAGGAAATAAAAAAGAAGGTGGCACATGCGTCGACCGATTTACTTTCCTCCTCCTCCTCCGCAGCTGAGATCCTGGAACTGGCGGGCAACGCGGCCCGAGACAACAAGAAGGGACGGGTCACGCCGCGACACATCCTGCTCGCCATCGCCAACGACGAGGAACTCAACCAGGTACAGCCGAGTCCCACCGCAGGCACACTTTCGTCAAGCCATCGGGAACGGAATTCTTTCTGGTCGCGAGACGGTCGGGAGAGTTTTGGGGAGGGGCCTGCCACACTGTTTGAAGTGATGTCGTTTGGATGCGGCACAATCGCGAACCTGTCTGTCGTTCTCTCAACTCTTTGACGATGCCGCTTAAGCGAGGCAGGCAAGGCAGACTCAGTCAAGCTTATTTCAGCCAAAAGTCACGCGATCGACCCCGTTTCCGATCGCCTGATGTTGTTTTGACGAGTCTGCCTTACGCAACCTGTAACGCAGACCGTAAAGAAGTTGCTCAAGGATCAAAATCAAACGCTCCAAAAACCTCACGGGCCGCCCGTCCCACCGCCACGGAAGAGTCCGAACCTTTTCTTTTTTTCCGTCCTAGCTCCTGAAGGGCGTGACCATCGCGGCGGGCGGCGTCCTGCCCAACATCCACCCCGAGCTGCTGGCTAAGAAGCGGGGCGCCAAAGGCAAGCTGGAGACGCCCCTCTCGCCCGCCCCCGAGAAGAAAGCCAAGCCGGCCAAGAAGACGGCCAGCAAGAAGATGGGCGGCAAGAAGGGCGCCGGCAAGGCCAAGGTAAGAGAGGAAAGCCGCCTCTCGTGGGACACTCCCCCAACCCCGCAGCGCCACCCGCCGGTGACATCTCGCCCGCTTGCAGAAACAGGGCGAGGCCAGCAAGACGGCGTCGGCCGACAGCACCACCGAGGGCTCCCCGGCGGACAGCTTCACCGTCCTGTCCACCAAGAGCCTCTTCCTGGGCCAAAAAGTCAGTCGACGCCGCGGGGACGATGCAATTAGGCCCTTTCGTCTTTGCGCCGCCAACGCCGCGGCGCCCGGAATTGGCCAGTTGATTTCATTGGACGGGAAAAGCTCATCCAAAGGCTTTTTGCGGCTGATTTAATTCCCGCGGTTGCTATTTTGACGCCGCTGTGTGCAATAAGCTGCCTGACGGGGAACTCCCCAAGTCCTCATTTGGGATGCGCTGACTCAAGGGCCTCCGTCAATTTGTGTCAGACTGACAGGACGACATTCGTCGCTCGATGATGCAACTGAATTCATTGCTTCATTATTTAGAGCTAAGACATTTGGGAACAAATTTCATTTTCATTTCAATCATACAGCCAGGAGATCAGTTCATTCAGATTTTTTTTCAGCGTTTCATTTTCATCACAGCAAACACGCAAGTCCTCTCGGTGT